TACACTACTCTCTGCTTTTTAGTCTTATTGTTGGAGCCTAATACAAGAGCTTATTCTAAAACAATGGCCTCCTATAATTTTAACTTACCAATTGTTACTGAATCGATAAATTGTGCAGCGTGTGTTAGCACACACCTGTAATCACAGCTACAGGGGAGGGTGATAAGCCTGAAGTTGGAGGCCAGCCTGGACAACATAGTGAGACCCCCATATCTCAAAATTAAAAAAGAAATAAATTGCTTATAAATAAATTGCCAGGCCCTTCTAATTTCACCTGTCCAAACTCTAATTCAATATTTTTCAGTATTTCAATTCCCATCTCCATATCTTGAGGTAGACAGATGCACACACCTTTTCTAGAAGATCTGTGTTCATATGATAGCATATGGTAGCTGCTAGAGATATTTTCCACTTTTTCAGAATAGTAAGACCCTCCCGCCTAAATATCTGAATAGGGATGCAGGGTAATCTTCTGAATTCAAAGTTGGAAACTAGAATTTTCTGCCATAAGATCTAAAAATCAAGAGCTTAAAAAAAGTTCATGGAAAATTCATAGGAAAAAAAAAAGGAGAAATCAAAGTCCAAATTTGTGTTTATGGAATTGCAATTTGCAACCCATTGATAAGTTTGGGTAATATTTAATAGGTCCTCAGCTAGCAATTTTTAAAAATGGAAATGAATTAGGAAATTTTCCAGATGTTATTTAGCAGAAATTCGTGTCTAACTCACATGTGTGTGTAAATGAGGGAGAGAGAGAATATCTAAATAAAAGTGAATTTAAGATTTATCACTATTCTATCAGGGAGCTCCTAAAGATTTTCCAAATCTTACATATAAATGGCTATTTTATATTCCTAGTTTTTAAAAAATGTTCCTCCTTTAAATTTTCAAATTGTATCCTCATGATTTGAAAATTTGATTATTTTCATATTTACTTTCTCTAGAGGAAAAAAAAATCTTCATTCCTTCATCTCACACTTCTAGGGTTCCCATGTCCACATTAAGAACCAAGTTGCTGGAATACATAGATAAGACCCAAATTAAGCAGATGTTTGCTCAAAGAAAGAATGTATCAGATCCTATACAGAGAATAAAGGGCTGCTTTTTCTTTGATTTCTCCTGAA